TAGGAACTACTTGTGTTTCATTATCTAAAAATGGTCCTTTGTAACCTTCAAATTTACAAATGATTGAATAGGGCTGGTGTTCTGGTGCATTTTCAGAGCTCCTATACAGAATGTCAACCACTTGTCCAATAGAGCCATTTACCAGTCCACTTTCTGTCCACAAGTTTCTTGTCAGCATTACTTTCGCTCCTACTCCTAAATGAACAAATACAGCAAGAGAAAGTGCATTTGAGGTAAGCACTTTTGTCAGTATTTTCCATAGTTGTCACATTTAGAGTTTTACAGTTCTCAAGTTTTTTAACATAATCTGCACTGAAATCATGTTTTGATGAATGATCTATGAGCAACTTTTTGATAGTTTTTACTTTATGAGGTAAATCCAAACTAACAACCATTTCATGGCGAGCTTTCTTGGGGGGACTTTTCTTGAATAACGGCCAAGATGCCACATTCTTTCCCAGAGAAACATCTTGCTCCTTGTGGTTCCTATTGACATAAGACACTAATGCTCTTATAGTTTTCTTGTCACCGGGCTTGAACTTAAATTCACTAGCAGTTTGTTTGCCAATGTAAAGATGCACATCTTGAGCTGCCACATTTTTCAGTAAACTGCCACTGGTCACATCTTCTACAATCTCGCCAAAATCAACGGCTTCATCAAATGCTTTAATTGCATGATATGAATTAAACCCGCTCTCATGGAGAAGTCTTGGAATGTAGCCCAGCTCAGCCCGCATCCCTTTTATAATTTCATTCCACAAAGGGAGTTTGTTGTGGAAATCCTGTGAAAAACAATTATATAAGAACAGATCAAATAGGTAACACTCAAAACTTTTTACTAATGAATTTTAAGGACTTACTGAATCTCCTTTCTCGGGGTTTTGTGATGCATTTGTCTGGTTTAACTGCAATTGCTGTACCGAAAAGTCGTGAGTAGTAATTTGAAAAATAAAACAAAGTTTCAATTGAAAGTCACATTTAGTCATTCTTTACCTCTGCCCCAGTTGCACCTGGGGTTCGACCTGGATCTACGCTATCATCTTTTGGATCCATTCTCCAAGTTCAACGCACTGCGTACCTGCAAAACATCAAACATTTTGATAAAATACGAATCATTGTGAAGTGTTTGGAACTAAAACGAATCCTAACCTAAACTAAACTTGCTCTACACACCACAAGTTATTTTTATCGTAAAATACGGGTCAACAGTTGTAGACACGAGTTAATCAACAGTTTACACACAAGTACAGCTCACCAGTTATCGAAGACATGCATACCTCCAAAGGCTGAATATAGTTTTACACAGTTGTTGCTCGAGTTGGGGAATACATTGTCGCGTGAAGAGGCACCAGTTGAGCCAACGTCAACGCCAACAACGAACAACACCCGTAACGAAGCCGAATTGTAACGGCGAAACCGAAGGAGGCACGGACAAAAATGGCGCGAAATTCGATTGACAAGTATCGACTGTCGACACCTGCGTACCGCACGAAGTGCATTTGTGATTCGTTTGAAGGTTGGGATTTGATGGGATTGGGCCGGATTGGAGTGGGATTAGAGAAGATTTGAAGGGATTCGGATAGGATTTGAGGGATTTGAGGGAGATTCTCGCGGATTGGAAGAGATTTTTAGACATTCTGAAGGATTGGCGGGATTGGAGGGATTCAAACGGATTGGTGAGGATTGGAAGGGATTGGAGAGATTGGGACCGATTAAAAACGGATTGCTTGAGGAGGTGTACACGGATTTTCGAAGTTATGCACCCCTCGGGCCAGCCAGGAGCGCCACCATTATCATACGCATCGGCAGTCGGCGAGGCGGTAGAGATGTGCGGGGCTAGCAACGACTCTACACATTCGGATCAGAGCGGGGCAATGCAAATCAGATGTGCTGCGGGGCAACACACGACATGAGCGGTTGTAATTGCTCAGTCATGCTGGAGGCATCGTCCGACAACGCGGCGGATAACGTGTGGAAGGACCTCGAGCTCTCCACCACCGTTGAGGAGATAGATGTAAGTGTGTGTAAGCATGTGTGTCAAGGTGGCGCAGGGCCGGCAGGGTGAGCAGCGCCAGGGTGGAGGCCCTGGAGCTGGCGGTGTACGGGCGGTGTATGTGTGAGCAGGGGCGGGCGCTACAGCTTCTCGAGGTGCGTGTCTCATAACTTTCTGTTTGTTCCAGGACTGCCCTCTCGCCGCCGCCCTAAGGGCCGAGGACACCATTCTGGCGGAGTCGGCGTGCCCGCCTCCCAGCGAGCAGTGGAACCATGACGTGGCCGTCAATGTAAGTCATCTTCTACCCTCCACATGCTTGCGTTCCTCTTATTGTGTGGTTGATCACATTTTTCTTCTGCAGCTGGAGCTCCCATTCTTTTCATTTGAGGCCGGTCCGCCTATGGACCAAAGTACTCCTATGAAGGAGCCGCCAGGATGTGCTCCACCCCCACCGCGCATGGCGGCCCTGGACCCGACTGCAGGCCGTGCACACACAGCCCCGGGAAAGGCCAGCCCTGATGGTAAATTGTGAATGAGAACAACTTGTCCTACAGCTCATGCAGCCTGGTCATGCAATGCTCTAATTGATTTTTGTTTGTTTCAGAGGACAGCTCTTCTGACGATGAAGATGATGAAGTCTGATTCATTCTTTTTTTTTATTTTACATCTGATGTTTGTTTGTTCAGATATATTTTTTTTCCTACTGAATCTGATTTTTTCTTTCATGTTCCTTATTCCACTGGCATCACAAAATAGTTAGTGTATCACATCTTGTATTTTTTAATGAGCTCTTTAACAAAAACTTTTTCGGCTGAAGAACCGTCAAGTGTTTGCTTTTAAAATCTCAACTCTGAACAGAAATAAAGTAATTCCACTCATATTTTTTAAAACTTAGCAAATGAATGTTAATATTTCCAATGAGTTTTGGTATAACATTCTAATAACAACACAATGTAGCTAGAGTTGGATAAACTAGGTAGATGTACGCCAGACCACGTCTCGCGTAACA